GAAAACCCTTTCTTTGTAACAACCATCTAATCACTTCCCCTTGCCAAGAAGTGAGAAAAGTATTTGTATTTGGAAAACCAAGCTACCACACGTGAAGTGTATTAAGAATGATTGTCTCCCCAGAATCACACGAGCTTTCCCCATCTTAGTTTGTTTTTCTAAAGATAAAAACCATATAGCAGTGTTTGTAGTTAGATCTAACAAGTGTCCATGCTTTCATAACAAGATTTCGCTTTGGCCGTCTCAACTTTGTTGTACATAAATAATGTTGTAAGTAATCTTTGAAACGGTATAACATGTGCAACCAGTGTTTATTTTTTTTAATACTTCAGAATATTTCATTATTTATTTTAAATGGTGATATGTGATTGATGGGTGTTTAACATGCAGAATAATGTATTCTCAGGAACTCTAGGGAAGACAGAAGGATGCACTGCAGTCTCACAACTCCTTGCCTTGAGCAGAGAGCTGAGGTCAGTTATGCAATGAAAAAACCCAGAGGGGAAATTAATTCTTAGCTAAGCAGGTATTTAAATGATGCATGCCCATCCTGAAACTCAGATCTTCTCGTGATGGAGTTCCATAGCCTTTTGAAAGCATATCAAATCACTTCATTATTTGATTTCATGAAAAAGCAAATGACAGGTTGCTTCTCACTCCACTGCATGGACAGGACTAAACCCTTGAAATGCTCATAAAGGTCACAGTGCCCAACTTTAATATCTTGGATGTGGAAAGAGAGATTGTAAAGGATCATATTGATTTGCATGAACTTTAAAATGCCATCAAACAGCTCAGAGGTTATATCTTAAATGCAGCATTAAAATAGAAACAGGCAAATAAAACCATATGTTTAACTGTGATGTTCGATTTGATTATCAAAAACACGTGGGTTTTTCCCCCTTGTATCCAGCTTTCTCCTGAATCACTGGAGTTTCAAATCATCCAGTACTTTCCTTCCTCTTATAGTTTTCTGTAGGACAGCCTCAAGTAATGGAGTAAGTAATAACCATGAAATTTTAATGAATACTCAAGCCAGTTTTCCTTCCGGTTGCTAGGAGCTTGGACTTTTTTAAACTATGGAAAACTAGACAGAGTTTAAGTTTCATGGAATAGAAAGGTAGACCCGGCCGGGCGCGGTGGCTCAAGCCACTGGATTGCATGCGAGAAATGTTACAGGGAGAAGAATGAAGTGGCATTGCTGTACTCAGTTATGCTTCAGTGCTTCAGAATTTCTGTTACCAAATTTGACTTTTAACAATCATATGGGCGGCTGCGGTGGCTCAAGCCTGTAATCCCAGCAGGCGAGACGGGCGGATCACGAGTCAGGAGATCGAGACCATCCTGGCTAACATGGTGAAACCCCGTCTCTACTAAAAAATACAAAAAACTAGCCGGGCGAGGTGGCGAGCGCCTGTAGTCCCAGCTACTCGGGAGGCTGAGGCAGGAGAATGGCGTAAACCCGGGAGGCGGAGCTTGCAGTGAGCTGAGATCGGGCCACTGCACTCCAGCCTGGGCGACAAAGCAAAGACTCATGTCTCAAAAAAAAAAAAAAAAAAATGAACTTTTCATAAATTCCGCATAAAACTAATTATGGATTTTATCAAATTTTTATAAATTTTGTTTCAGGGAGAGATAACTTAAGTTTTTCCTAGGAATGGTAATTTACCTGGGAGACCAAATTGTAGTGCAGCAAATTAATTTGACCAATACAGGTTGAGCATCCCTAATCCAAAATTTTGAAACATTTTCAAAAGAAATGCTCATTGGAACATTTCAGATTTTAGAATTTTGGACTGGGGATGCTCAGCTGGTATTCTGCAAATATGCCAAACTCCCGAATAATCTGAAATCCGAACACTTCTGGTTCCAAGTATTTCAGATGAGGGTTACTCAACCTGTAATATAATCACATTATACTACTTTGAAGGAGTAGAAAATAATGATCTTAAATTATTTTTTATTAAAATGTGATGGAAAAAAATTAAGTGTGTCAAAATTCTTAGAAGACCTCATCTAACCTACGTGAAAGTTCTGATTATTCGACAAAACTGAAACTTGTTTTAAGACACAGATAATGTCTGATTTCCCAAATCAGCGGTTTGTGCTCCTTTCTCTACCTTGATATGCAAATGGTGTGTTCACACAGGTGACATGACAGGCTGTAGGTGACATGCAGTTCCCGGTGGTAGACTGCGTTTAACTCAGTTTCTCTTCCTAGAAAGCATGCCCAAACACAAATGAGTGAGAATGATGTTGCAGTAGGAATAACCTTGAATCTTATGTTTTTAATAGTTACCAAAAAATACTTCTTCAAAATGGTCATTTAACCTGTATAGTCAAAATATCTTGGGGTATGTTCTTGAGATTTGCAGATCCACTGTACAGTGGTTAATTCTCAGCTTCTCGTGTATGATGATGGAAGTGGTGAAGGCAAGGAAAGGGGAAAGTAATGGGAGCAGGAGACAATGAGACAAAGGAAACATTAGCTCCAGCAGAAATGCCAATGTTTTGCTATTTTACATAAAATGTAGGGACTTTGTAACCATATAGGTCCATTTAACCATCTGCCATTTTTTCCTACAGTTGACATATTTATTACAACTACATGCAACTACAAACCTTGCAAGACAATGTATGTTATTATTTTTGCTTTGAGAAATTAAGAGCAAGTCTTTGCTATTGTGATTAGTGCTGCAATAAACATATGTGTGCGTGTATCTTTATAGTAGAATGATTTATAATCCTTAGGATGTATATGCAGTAATGGGATTGCTGGGTCAAACAGTATTTCTAGATCCCTGAGGAATTGCCACACTATCTTCCACAATGGTTGAACTAATTTACACTCCTACCAACAGTGTAAAAGCGTTCCTATTTCTCCATATCCTCTCCAGCATCTGTTGTTTCCTGACTTTTAATGATCGCCATTCTAACTGGCATACACCATGGAATACTATGTAGCCATAAAAAAGAATGAGTTCATGTCCTTTGCAGGGACATAGATAAAGGTGGAAACCATCACTCAGCAAACGAACACGGGAACAGAAAACCAAACACCGCATGTTCTCACTCATAAGTGGGAGTTGAACAATGAGAACATATGGACACAGGGAGGGGAACATCATACACTCGGGCCTGTGGAGGGATGGGGGGCAAGGGGAGGGAGAGCATTAGGACACATACCTAATGCACATGGGGCTCAAAACCTAGGTGATGGGTTGATGAGTGTAGCAAACCACCATGGCACATGTGTACCTATGTAACCGGCATGTGCTGCACATGTTTCCAGAACTTAAAAATTCTTTATATGTACTCAGATATTTACGTTTATAATGCTCTTCATTCCTTCCTAAAGATGTGCGTTTCCCTCTAGTGTCATCTCCTGATAGCCTGAATAACTCCCTTTAGCACAGGTCTGCTGGCAATGAATTTTTAGTTTTTTATAATCTGAAATGTCTTCATTTCACCTTCATTCTTGAAGGGTATTTTCACTGCATATTCTGGGTTGAACAAGTTTGTTTTCTCAGCACTCAAAGGATGTCATATCACTGTCTTCTGGTTACTGTGGTTTTCTGATGAGAGGTTCGTGGTTATTAAAATCATCCTTTCCCTATATATCATGTGTAATTTTTCTCTGCTTTCAGGATTTTCTCTTTAGGTTTCAGCAACGTGACTATGACATCTGTAGGCATTTTGTGTATGTGTGTAGTTAGCCGTTTCGGGCTTGCTAAACTTCTTTAATCCGAAAATGTATTTCTTTCACTACATTTTGGAAGTTTTCAGCCATTGTTTTTTCAAATATATTTTTCTGCTCCATTTACTGTCTCCTGTCCCTCTAGAACTCCAAGTACCAGACCTTAGACCTCTGATATTAGCCCACAAGTCTCTGTTCCCTTTTTTAAGTCTTTTTTTCTCTTTCCTTCAGATTGGATAATGTTCACTTATTTATTTCATTTATTTATTTTATTTCATTTATTTTCAAATTCACAAATTCTTTCCTGCATCATTTCTCCATTCTTCTGTTAAGCACATCCAGCAGCATGTTTAAAAATTTCAGATCTGTTTGTTCTATAATTTCTGTTTTGTTCTTTTAGTAGTTTCTGTTGACATTTTCTGTTTTGTTCATTGCAGGTATATTTTCCTTTATGTAGTTGAACACAGTTAAATAGCTACTTTAAAGTCTAATAATTCCAATATATGGGTTATCTTGGAGATTGCAGCATTGATTGTCTTCTCTTTGAGAATGGATCACATTTGTACATGTTATGTTGTAGAGAGCCTGCGTCTTGCTGTATTCATTCAGAGAGTGTAAATATTTTTCTTCTAGCAGGTAGTTAACTTGGTTAACTTAGCTTGGTTGAAGTGGAGTAAGTATTGAATATTTATGTTAGGAATGACCTGTTCGCTGTATTTTAAATTCGGATCATGTAGGTGCCTTTCGGTCTCTTATATGGTACAAGGGGTTTTTTAAAAAAATCACTCAAATGAGAATCAGAATGTTTGGGTTCCAGTCTCTGCCTTAATAGTTGACTACCTAATTATTGTTATATTACAATTAACAATCATTATGTTATAATTAGCCAAGTATTGTTATTATGATTCATTAATTGTTATAATAAACGAGTTGTATCTCTTTGGCCTGTGGAATGAGAGGCCTGGTCATCCTTAAAGGTCCTTTTCCTATTTGTGTCCTATACTCCTTTAATTGCTTAATATAAGTATCTTGAAGTCTGAGTTAATTATTTAATTTCATAGGATTCAAAATGTTGATTTCATATATTATGTAGCAGAAAGAATATCCCAGTATTAGAAAATGTGGTCATGTATTATTGATATTTTTTCTTTTAATCCCAGATTGCCTTAAAAATACTTTGCCCCTACTTTGCTTTATGCCTCAATGTTTCCTGGGCACAGGTTATTTCATTCAAAAAACAATAACTGAAAAGAATTTTATTTTTAACCTAATATTATATTTTAAATATTTGTTTGTCTCTTAGGAAAAAGTGCTGCAAAGGATATAAATTTGTTCTTGGACAATGCATCCCAGAAGGTATGTAATATAAAAAAGATTGTGTCACTTTATTCACAACTAATCACTCAAAGTCTATCAACTTTAGATGTTGAAGGAATATAGGTGCTATCTGTGTCTGATTATCTGTGCCATCTGTGCCTATTTTTTGGCATTAAATTTTTTTTGGCATTAAATTTTTCTGATGCCAATTTTGTTATATGTAACGTCCAGTGTCTGATCATTACATGATGTGTTTGCACACATTGAGTCATTCTTATATAGCATTTCAGGTTTTATGATTCATGGGCTATAATCCCCCAATTAGCATTTTATACACAGTTAGAACTAGCCCTCCTCCCTTGACCTCTCCACCTGCTTTCTTTACCTGCCTTTCACCTGCTAAACCTTAAGTCTCTTTACATGCCCGTCAGCAAACACGACCTGAGTGTTCAACCCAGCACTCAGATACAGATACAAAGTAAGGCAGGGACCCAGCTCTCAAGTTGCATGCATTCAAGTTGAGAAGCCAGGATGGGGAGCAGATAGAATCAGATAGACCTGGATTTTAATCATGCTTCTATGTCCTACTAATAGCTGTGACCTTGGGCAAGTTCAAGTTACTTTCTAAGCCTTGGTTCTTACAGGGTAGTATTAGTATGTTGGTCAAATGATGGTTTTAAGAATTTCGCCACATGTCAGGCACTTGGAACACAGGCTGGTTCTTATTACATGCTTGATAAATGGTGGCTGCTGATATTGCTGCTATTGTTATTGTTAGTAATAACTGCAATGTGTGCAATAGAGACATTCAAAGCAGGAAGTGTTCAGAGGGGACACATACACAGAGGCCCAGGGCAGTCAAAGAGGGTCTTGGAAATGAGGGGAGAAGTGAGACCATGTTATCAAGGAAGACTGCCCAGGACTTAAACAAGTAGAAAGTAGAGGACTGCGGTGGGTTCCAGGCAGAGCCCTGACACAGAAAGCCCTGACACTAAAGACTTTGTTTGAAGGGCATGGGGTTAAACTTGTTCAGGGCTGGGGTGAGATGGGTGGGGAATGTGAAACAGTTTTCTTCATCTTTGTCCAAGAAGCCAGATCTCTGTAGAAGAGGTAGAGCCCAGCCAAGCTAATTCTGTTGCATTATCTCATAGAGCACCATTTTTGATCAGTTAGAAGCAGATGAATCCCTCCCATTTATTGCTGTTTTCAGTGGAAGGATGGGACGGTTCCTTGAATCATAGCTGCAACCTTTGAGGAAGCTGCCGTAGGAAGGCTGGCTGGGAGCCGCTCCACGTGTGATGGCTGATGTGGTCTTGGGTTTCTCTAAGCTGAATTTCTCTCTGCCAGTCGATTCCGTTGGTTATAGCATGATGGGTAAACCCACAAAAGTCGCAATAATTGCTTTTCTTTCTGTATCAGCTTTTCTCAATCACCAGCTGTGTCCCTTATGTTGCAGTTTGGCAGACTGCAAAGAAAATTAAGTTTTAGGCCCTTTGGTTCAAGATCTTATCTAAAGACCTTGCCCAACCTAATTAAAAACACATTGTGTGGATACCACATACTTAGACTTTCTTTCAGTGTTAGTGGTTTCAAACATCTAGGTCTTAAAACTCGTCTCCCTCATCCGAAAGGAACTACAGCGCCTATGATTAACATAACCCAGAACTGAATATTTTCAGGAAAAGTGGTCACACATGCTGAAAGTTGTTTTGTCATTTTTGCTAGAACACTTTTCATAGCAGATTTGTTTTAATCTGTGGGAAAAAGTCAGTGATTGTTTCTTTTACTAAAGATATCTTTAGTCATAATTGTTTCTATCCCCAGAGAATGCAAAGTACAAATGCAGGATTTCAGAAAATACTGTATATTAAGGTTCTCCAGAGAAATAGAACCAATTTTGATTTTGATTTTCTATGTATGGAGAGAGAGGGAGAGACTGAGACTGAGGGAGAGATTGAGACTTCTTTAAAGGGATTGGCTCATGAGATTGTGGAGATGCAAGTCCAAATTCTTCAGTGTAGGCTGGCAGGCAAGAGATCCAGGGAGGAGTTGCAGTTGGAGTCTGCTGGCCAGAAGTCCCCCTTAGATTGGCGGGGTGTGGGAGGGGAGGTCATGTTTTTTTCTATGAAGACCTTCACCTGATTGGATGAGGCCCACACACATTATGGAGGGTCATCTGATTTACTCAAAGTCTACTGATTTCAATGTTAATCTCATCTAAAAATATCTTCACAGAAACACCTAGAATAATGTTTGACCTAATATTTGGATACTTTGGCCTAGCCAAGATGACACATAAAATTATCGCAAATCTACCCCTTGTCAACTTGGCACCCATACACCTCTCCTTAAGTCATACCTAATCTCCAGATACAGGCAATAACAAAGTTGTATGTTCTTCTGACATGCTACAACTAATCCCGCATGAAACACACTAACCCTTTCCCCAGAAGAGGGTATGAAGTCCTGTGGCACTGAACTTTTCCAGCATCTCCTTGATATGCTTTAACGTAAATACTGTGATGTAAAGTTAACAGTATTTAAATACTGTGATATAAAGTCACTACATCTTATGACATATGATAAGAGGATAAAAGAAGGAAGAAAACAAAGATTGGCATGCAGATGCACATGCACAAACACAAACATGGAAATAATCCATGGAAAGATACGAAATACTCATTACAATTTACAGTGCTTTGTTTCTGTAACTTGTCACATGGTCATAGCTGATATATGTAACCTGCCACGTTCTACTACCCAACCCATATTCCCTTTGCCCTCAGCAAGCACCTTGCCTGATCGTGGTTCTTTCTCTACCTGGTAAGGTCATCCACACCTTCATTCCTGAAGGATCTGAGACGTTAGCCCTGCCTGAATTGAGTTGTCTTCTGTTGACTTTTTAATCACAGGGTGTGACAATTACTAAGGGACCACCTAAGGTGTTTCTGGTGTTCCAGAAAATTTTTCTTCCCTCTGTTGTGGAGTAACAGTACAATTTCCCCTTGGTAGCCAGGATCAGTCACCCCAGCTGGCACAGTAACTCCCTTTTTTGCCTGCTGATGCAGAGGCATGAAGAGACCAAAGTGGCCAGGTGGCACCTTAATTTTCAGTTCAATGGAATCATTTTTGCCTCTGTTGCTGGAAGCATTCCTCCCTTTGAAACTAAGCCCTCTAGGCCAATATAACATAAAGTTACAGGAACAGGAAGCAAAAATTTTGCTAGTGCATCAGTAGGGGTAACAATGAGTGGTGCCACTCCCATTTCCACCCTTGATTCTGGGACCTGTGAATCCTGGTTATGGGACAAACCATACCATATGTTGGATACTGATTCAGAGCATATATATCCTCCTGATGAACCTTGCTCCAGACTAAATAGCTGGGTACCATGGCCTAGCCAAGTTGACCTGTAGCATTAACCATAACAGATGGCAAAAAGAAACTAGAATGTCTAAAGAAATATGTTAACTCATAAGTGGAAGCTATAGTTTTTAAGCGTTGCTGCCTCTTATTTGCTGCTTTAAGTCAGGAAGCCAATGGAGAATATTCTCCACTAAAATGAGGGAGTAAACTGGAAGAGAGAAAGATGTGGATGTATGGTTTGGCTGTGTCCCTACCCAAATCTGACATTGAATTGTAATAATCCCCACGTGTCAAGGGCAGGGCCAGGTGGAGATAATTGAATCATGGGGCAGTTTCCCCCATACTGTTCTCATGGTAGTGAATAAGTCTCACAAGATCTGATGGTTTTATAAATGAGAGTTCCCATGCACAAGCTCTCTCTTGTCTGCCACCATGTAAGACATGACTTTGCTCATTTGCCTTCTTCCATGATTGTAAGGCTCTCCAGCCACGTGGATCTGTAAGTCAGTTAAACCTCTTTCCTTTATAAATTATTCAGTCTCAGGTATGTCTTTATTAGCAGTGTGAGAACAGACTAATACATGTGGGATCCAGGAAACAAGACTCCAACACAAGAGAGAGGGAGGTGAAGGGCATCCATAGGTTCGTGGTGAATGCACATTCCTGGATGCAGCTACAGGCTAGGTGCGGTACTGGTAATCCCAGCACTTTGGGAGGCTGAGACAAGAGGATTACCTGAGGAGTTCAAGACCAAGAGTAGTAGCTGCCATGCAGCAGACCTACAGAGTCCTAATTAGAGCAAGTTGAGATGAATTTGAAAAAATGTCTAAAAGAAGAGATTTGCAAAATTGAGGGGATCTCTGTGAATATGTAGATTGAAGTTGTCCAGAAACAGAGTCTTCGCCACTTATTTAACAGAAAGCAATTAATATGAAGAACTGCTAACTAGTAATTGAGAACCAAAAATGCAAAAGGAAAACTAAGTATCATTGAGGTAACAACTGCAGGAAGCAGCTACCACCTCCAGGCTAGGGAAACAAAGAGAAGATACTGACCCAGTGAAAACTTAGAAGTTGGGAGGACCCAGAACTGTGAGGAAGAGGTACTGACTAGCAAGCCCTATTTCTCAGAACCTAGAGGAAGTTACTAGTAGATCTGGGACCCAGACCTCGGAGGCGGGGCTACCAGATGGCTGGCTGGTGCTGATGTCTCTGAAATGGGATACAGTGAGGCTGATTTTTGCAAGTGTTAGAAAAAATTCAAGCTGGATTTTGCTGCCACTGTATTCTTTTTGGTAGACACAGGATCTCACTATGTTGCCCAGGCTGGTCTTGAACTCCTGGCCTCAAGTCAGCCTCTCACCTCAACCTCCGGAGGTGGCACATGCCACCATGCCCGGCTTGCAGCTGCTATTGAAACAATCTGCTAGTGGGATGGAAGAGAACGGCTGATATTAGGCTTTCATGAATAGGAATCTCAGGAAGCAAAACAGAAAAAGGCAGATATCCCTTCTTCCTCTTCCAGCCTCCCTGTTTCTGTCTGTGTCTCTATGTGTGTCACTGTCAGAAACTAAGAGGTTGGCAGCTGACAAAGGAATGTAGACTCCAGAGCCCAAGTCAGAAAGTAGCCCATAGAAGAAGAAGGTGGGTGATTGAAGCTAAGAGAGAAAGTTCAGTAACGGGCACCCCAAAAATATACAAGATAATTCTTTTAATTCCAGAGAAGATAAAAAGATCTTCAAGAAGGTACAAGTAATTCAAGCATACTTCCAGGTTCAGCAAAGAATAGCTTTTATGTTGTCATTATGGTACAAATACTAAAGATTATCACATCAAAATTTCATCATAACTATATTGGCCAGATGGAGGGAATAGAAAGTTACGGGTATGACTGCAGGCGACAGGAGGCCTTGAAAAAATTCAGTGCATCTCCTCTGTTACTGGAAGTCATTAGAGAGGATTTAAAATAAAAATAAAGAAGCAATGCAGTCCGCTGTTTAGAGATGCAGAAGTGAGTGTAGAAAGAATCAGCTGGAAGAGTTGGAAGTGGTTCCTCAGGGAAGCAGGAATGGTAGGAGAGACAGGGAACTGCCTTTTTGGGCACCATGATCAACTCAAACACTTTGACAGCCTCTCTGCCTCTTCCTTCCCCTTCCCAGCTGCTGCGGAATGGTGGCAATAGCCAACAGGGAAGCTCACAGCCAGTTATGCCAGGATCATGCTCTCTAACATAAAGAGCACAGAACCTTGGCTGCCTAGAGGTGATGCCAAGTGGAGGAAATGTGTAGCTAGAGACAGTCTGCAGGGTTGGTCAGAACACCATACAGGCAAAGCAGGCCTGAACTCACAATCATGGGAAGGAGTATTTTACAAGGGCAGCTTTCCAGGTCATTGTGAGAATGGCACAATACTTGTCACACAAACCCTCCCTGCATCAGGAGCTGACGGCCCACCCGTTCACCTTCATATGTGGTGGAGCAAAGCCAGACTCACTTGGTGTCCAAGGATAGTTTATCTGTCAGCACCTGGAGGAGATAGTGCAAAGGATTAATGAGGTGCTGGCTCTCGCCTGGGAGTCAGTGTTGTGCCTGAGCTACTGAATTAGAGCCAAAGTCCCTTCAGAGGCTCATTACATATCAGTTCCTGGGAACTGAGAGGAGCAGATGCCCTAATTCTTTATGAGTAGCAGTGTATCCACCTCAGTTTGCACAGGCTGAGGGCTGGAAAGGGACCTCTAACCATTCGAACTCACCCAATCCCTTCTCAGCATGAGAGATCAACCCCCTAGGATGCACACTTACACGATACACACATATAAGCATCGGCTCTCTTATAAGTCATGCACATTTCTGTTACACAGTGATATGGTTTGGCTGTGTCCCCACCCAAATCTCATCTTGAATTGTAGCTCCCATAATTCCCACGTGTCATGGGAAGGACCTGGTGGGATGTAATTGAATCATGGGGGCGGGTCTTTCCCATGGTGTTCTCATGTTAGTGAATAAGTCTCACGAGATCTGACGGAGAGCTCCCCTGCACACACTCCCTTGCCTGCTGCCATGTAAAAAGCAACTTTGCTCCTCATTTACCTTCAACCATGATTGTGATGCCTCTCCAGATGTGTGGAACTGTGAGCCAATTAAACCTCTTTCCTTTGTAAATTACCCAGTCTCAGGTTTTAGCAGCATGAGTCCAGACATGTATACACAGAGTCCCCTTCCTACCTCTCCGAGCCTGCCTGACTTCCAGCCCTTCCTCCCATATGATGACGCCAACGCCTGTCACCCCAGCTGGCCTTTGTTTAGTGTTCTGCTGGGTGGAGTCCCCTGCCTCTACAGCAGTTGAGGAACAAGACAAAACAGCACCCCACCCCCGAGGGAATCCGCAGATCTGGCCCTCTTAAGAGTCTTTTCTCTCTGGATAGTGACAAAGACCAAAGGATGATGAGGCGACTTAGGGGGAAAATCACGAGTGATGTGATGCCGTGTATGTTACCCATTGCAGTACTCTTAGAAGGTGCCCTACAGCCCGAAAGAGTTCCTGTCCTTCTAAGTGTATCTGTCCACACTTCACACGTGCCCTTGAGCCCAGCCCAGAAAGTCCTTTCCAGGCCAGGGCCAGGTTACCCCGCCTCCTCCTGTGGTTGACGTGAGCTCTCACTTTGCTTTTTCAGATTACGACGTTTGTGCAGAGGCTCCCTGTGAACAGCAATGCACAGACAACTTTGGCCGAGTGCTGTGTACTTGTTATCCGGGATACCGATATGACCGGGAGAGACACCGGAAGCGAGAGAAGCCATACTGTCTGGGTGTGTTGGGAATGTGCTTTGTTTCCAGCTTCTGAACATGTGCCTTGTTCAGATGGTTCTGTTCTTGGTTGGACCCTTCAGTTCTTGTACCTGTTGGATGAAGTTGTGTTTGATATTATCCTAGGGATAGCTTATCACTGCCCTTCATCACAATTACTAAAACCAACTAGGCCCCAGGAATTCTTCCGGGATCTGGTACCAGTGAGGTCCTAATTGGCAGTGAGACATAAGAGCAGGAGAAGGGGAACACGCCCAAATATAAACTGGAATAATGTAAAACAGAGTATAAGTGGTCAGAAACGTAAAAACGCAGACAGAACAAACAAGAATAAACATTCTCTTAGAAGGTGATTGGTGATAAAAGGAAGTAGCCATATGGCAGACAGGTTGGGAGGAAGTCGGAGGGAGCCGAAGCCAGCCACCTGGGCTGCAGCTGAGCAGAGCCTGCGCCATCCACGGCACCAGCCTGTTTACTGTCGCCCTCACGAACTGGCTGTCCCAGCCGTGCATTCCTTGAGGTTCTAAGGCAGCTTTATGGCTCCTTTTCCTCTGGAACTATGTGTCTGAAAGTGTGGTCAGTTCATAGCTAACCTGAGAAACATCTGGGGTCCTCGTTTAGGAAAAAAAAAAATCCTGGCCTTTTCTCCACACCTAGTGAATCACGACTCTGAGAGTGGGTCCACACATGCATATTTACACCAATGCCTCTAATGATTCATAGGCATGATGAGATTTAAGAATCAGCTGGAGGATGAACTGCAGAGACTGCAGAGACTACATGGAAAATAAACCAGCTGTCATGAGCATCTCTCTTTCTCTAGCCTAGCAGGGGCTCTAGGGAGCACCATTTCTGAGAAGTTCCAACTGTAGGTCCTCTGGTTTCTCCCTGTCAGCATGTGGGAATGGTGCCCCACAATGCCAGAGAATGGGATTGTGACTCCCAAGGGAATGGAGCAGGGATCTCTGGCCTCTCCTGCAGAGAGAGGCACAGGCCATTCCGTGAGGCTCAGGTCCCAGGCACAAGGGTCTTACTTCAGTTTATAGCAGCTCCTGAACCCTATTCTTTATGTATTTATTTTTGAGACAGGGCTCACTCTTGCCCAGGCTGGAGTGCAGTGGTATGATCTTGGCTCACTGCAGCGTCGACCTCCCATGCTCCTGCGATCCTCCCACCTGAGCCTCCTGAGTAGCTGGGGCTATAGGCATGCACCACTACACCCAGCTAATTTTGTTCCTATTTTATAGAGATGGGATTTTACTATGCTGCCCAGACTGGTCTGGAACTCCTGGACTCAGCCTCCTGTCTTGGCCCCTCAAAGCACTGGGATTACAGGCATGAGCCACCACACCCAGCCCCTGTTCTTTTTGCTTGGGGGCTTGGGTACCAGCAGAACTTGCCTTCTACTAAGAGTTCTATTTCTATCTCTGATATCAGCTTAATCTCCTCTCTCTGGGCAGTACAGGCAGCATCACATGTAGGTTTAGGACACCTGGGGAAAGGCAGCGAGCCTGAGGAATTGCAGAGGAGGATGCAGCTGCAACATCCAGTCCACAGATGACCTAGTCGGTACTGCCAGGGGAGCGTCCAGATGACCACCCTCCCCTCAGCATATACAGGGACTGGGTCACTGGCAGCTTGTGCAGGGAGTGGCTGGGAAGTTGTTGCCATCCTCAAGTTCAGCGCTGGCCTCTGTCTGCCCAGCACATGTGCACAGTCTGGGGCTGCATGCCACGGTTCCCACGCACTGCTACCCAGTGTCTTCAACCAGTGAACAGGAAATGGAGTTGGGCCTCCCACTGTCCTCGTGGTGGGAAACGTTTTTGTTTCCACCATGCAGCAGGGGAGCAAGTCCATGATGTGCGTAGTTAACATGGGCTCTTCGTGGGGACTTGTTTGGCGGTCCCATGGCTCATTTCCACAGCCCATGAGGGATCTGTCTGAGTTCATGATGAGGCAGACATTTTCTGGGGAAGACTCTTTCCATTAGACCCATTATGACTATTTTCTTTTATTAGAAGTATCTTTTCCCAGGTGCCATCATGGCTTTTAACTGGGAAGGGACCATTCCTAAGTGACCTGTGGGTCACCATCATGCTGTTTGGAACCTACACCATAAAGGGAAACTTAAAAATCCTCAGCACAGTAGGGCACTCACAAAAAATCATCTCTGTAATGTTTTCTTCTCTAAGTGAGTGTTGCCACTGGTGATCTCATTTTCATTTCTAAGTAGCCCTATGAAGTGTTTAGGGCAGGCTTCATTGTCATTGTTCTGTAAGTGAGATCTGAAGGCTAGCAGTCTAAGCCACATGTCTTGGGAGTGGCAGAGCCACAGCCAGGAACCCCATCACTAATCAGCCTGTAACAATGGCCACTTGGCCAAAAGTGCTGTTTTTACGGATGGCCTACATTTCTAGCTCCCTGCTTTATTCCAGGCTTCTCTGATCAACGTCGGCCCAAGTGTCCTTTGTTGTTATTAACAGAGAGGCCAAGCCCAATGTCACCTGTTGTATTAGAAGTGAATTCTCAGAAACTGAGTATTCTCTACATTTGGTTCAAACCAGATATTGATGAGTGTGCCAGCAGCAATGGGACGCTGTGTGCCCACATCTGCATCAATACCTTGGGCAGCTACCGCTGCGAGTGCCGGGAAGGCTACATCCAGGAAGATGATGGGAAGACGTGTACCAAAGGAGACAAATATCCCAATGACACTGGTAAGTAAGGCAAGTCTAAATATCTCCCTAATTACATGTTTTTGTATATTATATATATAACCAGTTTGGGGGTTTATATGTTATATAGATATGATATAGAATTGCATATATAAATATTCTATGCTATATAATTTTATATACAATGTATGCCACATTATGTTTAATATCTAAAGTTTCCAAGTGCCTATATAAAATTATACACAATTATTTATTGTATGAGTTTGTTCTCACACTGCTGATAAAGACATACCCAAGACTGGGTAATGTATAAAGAAAAAGAGGTTTAATAGACTCACAGTTCCATATGGCTGGGGAGGCCTCACAATCATGGTGGAAGGCAAAGGAGGAGCCAAGGCGCGCCTTACATGGCAGCAGGCAAGAGAGCATGTGCAGGAGAACTTCCCTTTGTATTAATAAACCATCAGATCTCTGAGACTTATTCACGATCATGAGAGCAGCATGGGAAAGACCTGCCCCCATGATTCAACTACCTCCTACCAGGTTCCTCCTGTGACACGTGGGGATTATGGGAGCTGTAATTCAAGATGAGATTTGGGTGGGGACACAGCTAAACCATATCATGCAGTTTTTATATATATATGTAGTTATATGTAATATATGTAACATATTTTTTATATATTTACTTAAGAGCCCAATCAGGTACCTCAAAGGACAAGTGGACAGGAAGGGGCACATATACCAATGGTAAATGGGACCTAGGGAACAGAATGTAAGTTCAAACTTCTAAAGAGAAAGAATAAGAGTGATGCCCATTAGCTCAAGGGTTGTAAGCTGGTGTGTACTGGAGGAAGCTCTCCACCAAACTGAAGTGGTGTGCTCTTGGAGAAATCAGTAAGGCTTAGATACGTGTTTAGACAAACTAAGATGAGCAGAGAAGAGGCCAGAAACGCTGTGTTTTCCCAAAGAAAATGGGCTGAAATATAAATATGAAGTATCTCCATGTAAGGTAACAATCTGTATCCATGCTACTCAAAATATGGTCTATGGACAGGCAAGATTCATAATTGGATAAAAACAAAAATTGAGAGTGTTTAGAAATTTTTATATCAATCTGACAGAGGAATTTTGTTTAAATCCAAAAATTTATGCTTGCATTTTACATCTTATTTTTGTAGTGGTTCATCTTTGTGTTTCACAGAAGTATCAGTCCACAGGCAGTTGGAAAATTTCTAAAAGCTGGGCCTTTAGCACAGAGCTGAGAAGCTGATTTACATTCTGTCAGCGACATTCAACTGAGATGTCTGGTCACTCAAGCATATGATCATCCTGAAGGTTGGGTTATTTCCTTATTTGAGTTCAGAGGAAAAAAGAAAGAAGAACGAGGCAGAGATGAAAAGGGGAGGGATGGGGAAAGAGGAACGAGAGAAGAAGAAAGAGAAAGGAGAAAGAGAGCCCCTAAACTAATATCAATGCTTCAGGCAATGCCTTGATCATCAAAATACCACTACATGCATATGTGAAGCAACTCTGGTCCCTCTGCCAAGTTGTCAGTGCCAGCCTAGCCACGAAAATGTAGGATTTTAGCCTAAATGTCAAGGGCCTTTCTAGTCAGGGTGAACTTTGAAGCAAAACGGACTCCATTGACAATGGCTGGCAGAACCAGTTCCCAGGGGAGAAAGCCCTCAGCCACTTAGAGGTCTTGAGGCTGGTGCCACACAGTCACCAGCTCCTGTATCCACTACTTGTAGCCCAGGAAGCTGCTGACCTCTTCCCTAAGCCTAGGGCTTAGCTCTTCTCTACTTCCCTCAGGAAGGGAAGGTGGCTAGAGCTCTGTTGGCTAGGTCTGGACCTTCCTTGGGAGTTCCTAGAACAAATCACACCCCAAATTATTAAGAAACCCACGAACACATCACAAGTGATGGTATCCTGAAAAACAGTTTAGAAAATATCAACTTAGCATCAAAGATCTTAGCTCTGGGGCCATGATAAGCCATCTGGTCAACTTTCAGGCAAGAATGTTGATATCAGCAGATGAAGCAGCCAGAGTTCAGAGAGAAGTGATTTTCTGTAGACTGCATGGCATCTGATGAATAGAAGTAGGATAGTACCTTCCATTCTGCCATATTGAGAGACAGTTACAGGTGACTATAATGAGGGATATCCTGTTTAATCAAGAGCATTCTGCTGGTTGTATCATTGAGCCTTACTGTAACACAAAACGCATTGCAAAAGATGACACTTGGCTGGGGACAGTGGCTCAGGCCTATAATCCCAGCACTTTGGGAGGCTGAGGCAGGCGGAACACTGGAGGTCAGGAGTTCAAGACCAGCCTGGCCAACATGGTGAAACCCCATCTCTACTAAAAATACAAAAAATTAGCTGGGCGTGGTGGCACCTGTAATCCTAGCTACTCGGGAAGCTAAGGCAGGAGAATCCCTTGAACCTGGGAGGCGGAGGTTGCAGTGAGCCAAGATCACACCATTGCACTTGGCCTGGACAACAAGAGCAAAACTCTGTCTCAAAAAAAAAAAAAAAAAAAAGATTACACTTGTCTGGGAATCCTCTCCTCTTTCTCTTCCATCAACATCCTTCCCCAAATATAGCAATTGCAAATAGTCTTTAAAAGGGAAACCTGATATGACTCCACTAAGGATGCTCCCCAGCAGGACCCTTCTAAAAGAATCGCTCAGGATTTTCAGTAATTTGTCTCCACTGAATTTATCAACTATGCACAAAGGCCTAGCATTTGATTTTATATTTTAGTCAAACAAAATTCAAACACCAGTAACCAGGAATATTTGAGGGTAGAAACTCTAGGGTAGAGAGAAGGGTAGAGGCAAGCAATTCATACACGTCATTAAAATTATGAGAAAGGACAAGCCATTGTATGCTCTGAACATTAAAGTCATAATTCGAGAGATTGGACTGCTGGGAAGGTGGGGGCTGGCTTTGATGGTTCTGGCAGGAAAAAAAAAAAAAAAAAGCCTCCACTCTTCAGCAGTGTGGCCTAGCAAGGGCCAGTGGTGATGGGGAAGGGGATCATTTCTTTAATGGCCGTGATACAGTGGAAAGTTCCTAGGCTTGGGAGTTTGAAGTAATACAGAACCAAAGTTGGTTCAGTATTAACTGAGCAATAATGAGCAGGTCTCTGGGCCTCAGTTTCCTTATCTGTAAATAAGAAGGTTAAACTATATGAGCTTTGAAGACCTTTTCACCCTTTCAAATATTTTTCAAAATTTGGTGTGATTTAGCATAAGTGATGCAAGCCCTGTGATTCCATGTGCAGGCCTCATTTTTTTATTTAATTTTATTTATTTATTTATTTATTTATTTATTTGAGACAGAGTCTCCCTCTGTTGCTCAGGCTGGAGTGCAGTGGCTCAATCTCTGCTAACTGCAACCTCTGCCTCCCAGGTTCAAGCGATTCTCATCCCTCAGCCTCCCAAGTAGCTGGGATTACAGAGGTGCGCCACCACGCCCGGCTAATTTTTGTATTTTTAGTAGAGATGGGGTTTCACCATCTTGGCCAGGCTGATCTCAAACTCCCGATCTCAGGCAATCCGCCTGCCTCGACCTCCCAATGTGCTGGGATTACAGGCGTGAGCCACAGCACCTGGTCCAGGCCTACATTTCTTAGTTCTCTAAGTACTGAGATTTAGAAACATGCCCAGCCTCAACAACTTCTAAGCAGAGGACTTTCCTCAAAATATCTGAAAGATGAATTATTAAACATCCAAGCGTTCAGTTCAGCAATAAGAAATGTCAGAGGCCTGAAGAGCCCCACATTCCAGAACATCAGATGCCAGGAAGCATTTTCATCTGTTTTGGACTAATTAGTAAGCTCACTATTTCATTATGGTCGTTTTTTGTGAATTGAGAGTGATTATTGAGTATAACCACATGTGATCTGAAATCATCTCTTCCTCCTCGGTTTTCCTTTTTAACTTTGCATTATCTAATGCCTGTATTGTTACAATCGGAGGAATTTGAAATCAAACACAACCTCAGCTGGTTGTTAAGAATCCAGGGGGAGAGAAGGGAGGCTGGCCTCAGGACTGCCTCTGAGGCTTGAGAGGTTGCAATCCACTGGCTCTGGGCTCTCTGAGACAAGCCGTCTGGCTAATGGACATTCAGTCACTTTGATTTTCTCTTTGAAAATATGTAGCCGGAGCCAGTTTAGTCACCCCAGGGAGTCTGTAGCCTCAATAGGGAGACAAATTAAGGAAATGTTGGCTCCATAGTAATTAGCTTGCCAGTCTTTATTTTTCAACTTTTGTTTATTTTCTGATAATGTGACCGTGACCCCTGGCATCACTTATTACAGGGCAGTGTCAGATGGCCAGGTGTTTCATATTACTTTCAAGCTCCACTAATCCATAGATCAGCGGTTCTCAACCTTGCAATTACCTGGGGAGCTTTTTTAAAAAATGCTGATACTGTTGCCTTGCGGTCCCCAGACCGGTGGTGTGCAGCAGAATTCATATTTTAAAAGCCCCCCAGGTGATTGTAATGTGCCTCCGGGGTTGAGCATTATAGCCAGAGCACAAATCTGCACTATCAACTTTTAAACACAAACATGCTTTGTTCATTTCTGGCACTGCCCATATAAAATATTTCGGGAACACTGTTTGGTTTTTCTAAGATATCTAAGGCGTTACAATTTCTAATGCTTAGGATAGACGTCCTGGTCAACTTCAGGAAAAATTAGAGCTTCTTGCCCCCATGTGGCTAATCAATAATATTGCACCTTTAAAATCTGAACAAGTTGAAGAAAAAGTGTTAAGCGATACCACCCCAGGCTTTTCCCAGAGGTGTGACCACAGCATTAGTTGAGAGGATTGAAAACATGCAGCAATAGCTACCCCAATTTCTAAATAAACTGTTAATGTAGCATATGTGAGATTATTTATAGCTCCATGTTGACATTGTAGACAAATTGCAAGGTGGATGTGAACCCCAAATCAGAGTAGGTTTTATGTTCCAGGTCTACATATACAAAAGGTATGAGTCCTTGTTTATCTTTAAACCCTTGAGAGCTCTATTGAAAGGGTGATATAAGGTCCCAACCCCACATGTCTAATTTTGTAGAGAACTGAATCATAGTAATACCAACAATAAATAGCATAACAATGAGTGCTATGAATAGAGCTCTTACCATAAGCTGGGCACTGTTCTGGGAACCTATGTATCTTATCACTGGCTCCTCGTAGCAGCTCCAAGTGATAGGTGCTGTTACCTTTTTACCGTTCAAAGAACGGGCATTCACAGAAACCATGACTTGTCCAATTTAAAAGGTACTAGGTAGCAGCAGCTGCACCAGCGCCTACACTCCTTATTACCATGCTGTGTACTTCTGTGTCAGAGGAGCTTCAAGTCTTCTGGATAATGTTAATCTTGGTTCTCTGTGTTCTGATAATTCCACAATGGAACAGAAAACAGCCCAGGAATTTTCATGTAACAGGTCACTCAGCAGAGCTTCTGCCCTGGAGCCTGGCCAGCAGATAGCTCTCAGGTGTCCTCAACAGAATTCCCAATAGCAGGCTCACTGCATGCACCCACCCCTCCAGAACAGCCACTTGGGACCCAGTTGAGTTTGTGGTCTCTATACACAGCAAATCTGAAAGACCTAAGGCAAGTTACTTTCTCTCTCTGGCTCTCACTCTCCTTTTCTACAAAAGAGATTGAACAAAAGATATGTTCTAACATTCCATGATCTAAATGAAATAGTCTAGAATCTGGTAAAGAGGTTTATCTTATCGTGAAGCTGTCCAATTGCTTAATCACGTTAACACTTGGAAAATTTAACTGAGTATGTAAAAGTAGAAGTGGACAGAAACATGAGCTTTTAACTTTGTTCATGGTTGCCCAGCTCTGCCGACAGGGCTAGATTCTTAAAGATGAACTGAAAAATTGTTAAATGGATATCCTCACTTATTTTACATTCTCAGTGCCTGACACAGGACCTGGCTAATAGCAGATGCTCCATAGATGGATGGAAGGAAGGGAAGGTTGGATGGATGGACGGATGGATGGATTCGTGGTTAAGAAGACGGAATGGATGGGAAGATGGATGGATGGATGGATGGATGGATGGATGGATGGATGGATGGATGGATGGAAGGATGGGAGGATAGATGGATAAGTGGTTAGGAAGATGGAATGGATGGGAAGATGGATGGAAGGATGGAAGGATGAATGGATGGATGGATGGTTGGATGGATGGATGGATGGTTGGATGGATGGATGGATGGACGGACAGATGGATAGATAAGTGGTTAAGAAGATGGAATGGATGGGAAGATGGATGGAAGGAAGGAAGGATGGGTGGATGGAGGGATGGATGGATGGATGAATGGATGGATGGATGGATTGATGGACAGACTAAATTGATGATGGTATTGTATACATTGACCAGTAGATGAGATGGAATGGCTGAAAGACTGGTTGGGAAAGATGGATGTCATTTATCTGTCCTTAGGTATTAACATAATAAACCTGGAGCCTGGGTCATCTTTTCATGCAAGAGCCCACCGTTTCCTGCAGTCAGCACAACCAAAGTTAAGGTGTTCGCCCTTTACAACTAAGTAAATTATTGCGTGGAAACTTGCCTGCCTTACTCTGTTGGAGATTGAGCTAAATAGTTCTGGTTTTCAGGAGTATTCAAGCTCCATAGGATTATAAATTGGTACATTGAACAGGGATAAAAAGCCCAAAGGAGACTCTCTGATTTGTGGAAAAGGCATTGGACTTAATTTCAGGACAACTCCATTCTAAACCCACCTCAGATACTTGCTAGATGCTCTTCAGGAGGTCGCCAGACCTCAGTTCCCTCATTTTGCTATTCATGTTAATACTGTTATTGTAGGGTTCTGGGATTATCATGCAAAGGAAATTTAAAGGGTTTGGTGAGCCTGAAAACTGCTAGACATCCCCTCCCATCTACCTACAACCAAGCTTTGTGCTGAGGGTTTTCCATGCATTACCTTGCCCAGTCATCACAGCAGCCACATGTGGCAGGAATTGTAATTCCAGGGCTATGGTCGAGGCAAGTGGGGTTTGTGGAGGCCAAGTAACCTGCCCAAGGTCGCTGAGCCTATTCAGTGACAGAGATGGTACCTGCATCCAGAACAATGGGACTCAAGTTTGTACTGGTAATCAGTTCACTCTACCATCTCTGATACAAGACCTTCCCTGTTCCCCCTTACTGCTCAGCTCATTGTCACACAGCTGCAGTGAGTCAAAACCATCCCTCCAGTGTGCCAACTGAAGGGAGTACAGGTGAGGAAGCTATGGGAATTCGCCTAGAAAGCAGGCATTAAAAGGATGGCCCTGTTATGTTGGTTACACATAAAGTGGATTTTTTTAAAACTGCCACTTGTGCAGAGATTCAAGTGTTTTTCTCCAATTACACATTAAAAACCTGCCTGAAGAGCTAGGTTGACACTGCATATTCAATAATTACACTGTTACTTGTGGCAACTCAACTACACAGCGTGGCATCATTTGCGTCAACCTGCTGGCTTGAGAAATGTGTGCTTAGCTTGGGTGCTGCCAATACCAGGTCTCCCATGGTGCAGGGATGGCAGTGCAGCAGGTAAGCTCTGAAACTGCCTGCTGTTGTGTGCTGAGGGTGCACAGTCTGAGACCTCAGCTGCCAGATTGCCTCTGGGCCTGCTCACCTCCCAAAGGGCAGAAGCCCTGGTCACTGCATATGTCACCAGGGAGAGGACTGGGCAGCCGGGCTGTGTAAGGAAGGTTCGCCTACATGTGGGCTGCCCTCATGCCCATCTCTCCATCCATTCAAGTGTCCATTTCCTAGGGTTGCCATAGGAAAACGCCACACATTAAGTGGCTTAAACAGAAATTTGCTTCCGGTCTGAGGTTAGAAGTCCAAGGTGTCAGCAGCGTTGGTTTCTTCTAACAGCTGTGCAGGACAATCCATTCCATGCCTTTCCCTAGCACCTGGTCATTGGCAGGCAATTTTTGGTGTTCCTTGGCTTCCACTGCCTCTCACCTCTGCCTTTGTCTTCACATAGCATTCTTCCTGTGTACAAGTTTCCCCTTTGTATAAAGATACCAATCATATTGGACTAGGATCCCACCCTACTCCAGGATAACTTCATCTTAACTAATTTTATCTGAAATGATCCTGTTTCCAAATAAAGTCACATTCTAAAGCACTGGGAATCAGGACTTCCCGTGAATTGGCAAACAGGACACCATTCAACCTGTAACAACCCATTTCCCAAACATTTTGTGAGCATCCATTATGTGAGATACCAAGAAGTGAGCCTGGTTCTTAGGCAGCTTACACACTGGCATGTGCCCTAAGAACCGCTCTCCAGGGAAGCCTAGAAGACCAGCCTGTGAGTGGGAGGGACACACAGTAAATGCTGCCTGATTTTCAGACTTCTGTGGGTTGAGAGCAGGCTTCTTGGAACATTTGATCTGCGTCTTGGTGGGATTCAACAAGTGGAGATAGAACAGAGGGCTTTGCAGAAGAGAGGAACAGTAAGAAGCAAATGATACGGGCCAGGAAGCACAAGAGATGGTCACGCGTTACCGACTTCCCCAGTCTGCGTTCTAGGTAGCCGTGGTTATTATGTCACACAAACAGCACACCTGGCCCAACGCCAAAGGGCTGTTAAGCGAGGAGAGTTTATGCTTCCCTGGGTGTCAGACTGTCCTGCCTGCCCGAACAAAACACCCTCAACCTAGCACTTTCAGCCTACACTGCTGCCACCTTTGGCACACACCTTGGCAGTCTGTGCAAGGTCCTCAGCAGCGAGGTGACCCAGGTGTCTGGTCTTCCCAGCATGCAGGCTTAAGTAGCCCATTCCAGTGCCAGGAGGAAGAGAGCTGTCTGTATTCTTGGCCAGATCACCATTTACTTCACCCAGTTTTCCTTTAGCAAAGAATGTTTTTACAAAAAGCCCATGGAGCACCTAATGTTCTACAGCTGGGGTTTGGGACCCTTTGCAGTGGATGGGCCCGACTGCCTTTCTATTGCTGTTGCGAGTGGCCCCAGATGGGGTGGCGAAGTGTCTGGGGCATTTCCTATCCTGGCCTCAAGCATCAGTGAGGTCAGCTCCCAGCCCACTGCTGTGCTCCCTTTGAAGAATTGGATTAGCAGAGGTGATAAAGGCAACTTTAAGGCCCAGTGCCTGAGCTTGGGGAATATTTATAGTGTGTGAACATTAGCCCTTTCAGAGGAATATAAATCATGTCAGATTTATAGAGCCTGCCTTCTGGAAAAGCACTGATAAAAGGGCCGTGGTACGCATTTTCACACATGAAAGGAAGATCAGGGTCTTCCTGGCATGTCTAAATAGGAACAGCTGAGCTCAACTTCCAGCAGCAACCCTCTCTCTTTGTCCCCCACTCTTCCCTGACCCTGGAGCGTGCTGGCAGGACCTGAGAGCTGTAAAATCACCCACAACTGAGCCCTCACGTGTCCCGCTGTCAGCCGCTCTGTCCCTGGGACCACCCTTCCCGATGCTGTCTGAGTCTGGCTTGCATCCAGCCTCCCAGACAGGACTGAGCCCATCTCCTTTCTCAGGCCATGAGAAGTCTGAGAACGCGGTGAAAGCTGGAACTTGCTGTGCCACATGCAAGGAGTTCTACCAGATGAAGCAGACCGTGCTGCAGCTGAAGCAAAAGGTACGTGCCGCTGGGGTGGGAACGATGATGCGTGATGGAAGGAGGGCTTGTCCCAGGACAGGTGGAAGGATATTTACAAATGATAAGAAAATAAATTATTATCCACATTGAGCATTCACACAGTTGATGCCAGTGAGGTTTGGATGGATTTGGGATGCTTTGCCCACCTTCAGAGCCATCCAAGGGGCAACAGGACACAATGATGGCAAGGGATTGCAGAGGCAATTATTAAAATCGACACTAGGTAAGGGACACATGGCAAAGCCATAGAGAGGGTGAGCTATAGCTATTGCAACTTCTCATAAAATAAATTTCCGGCCGGGTGCAGTGACTCACGCCTGTAATCCCAGCACTTTGGGAGGCTGAGGCAGGTGGATCACCTGAGGTCAGGAGTTCAAGCTAACATGGTTAGCTAACATGGTTAAACCCCATCTCTACTAAAAAATACAAAAATCAGCTGGGCATGGTGGTGGGCACCTGTAATTCCAGCTACTTGGGAGGCTGAGGCAGAATTTCTTGAACCTGGGAGGCGGAGGTTGCAGTGAGCTGAGACCACTCCATTGCACTCCAGCCTGGGTAACGAGCGAAACTCCAACTCAAAAAACAAATTTCCAGACGTGTCCTGGGAAAGACCTACGTGATTCTGTTTTATCTAAGATCTGTATATTATTTATGGAGAATATTGTCTCTATAAACTGCTATAAGCTGGTAAGGAATTTCTGCAGTAGCTTTCTTTTTCACTTTTAAAAATTATAGCCTGTGCCCTTTCTGAGCTCCCTGCACCTAGAAAAGCAGCCCTGTGGGAACTTCATGTCATCAAAGATGAGGGCCAATGCACTTTGTAAAAGGCTGTGTGAATGCCTAACAGTATAACAGATTTCTAGTAACACCATTCTGCTGTGAGTAATGCGCCAGGATGGATCTGGCGATCTGACTTCTTGAACAACTGTCCTGGACCCAGATAAACAGTATTTATTGTACCTAAGATGGCTTACTTTGCTAGTTTGTCGGTGACTCAGAAGTCACCCTTACATTGATGAAACATAATCTTCTTGGTTTGTTTAACTGCTTCCACTCAAGGCTCTTAGCGCATCAGAGAGGTGTATCTGCCCGTTGAACTTTGGCATCCAGTGATTCTAAAGGCCTTGAGAGTAAGTCTGAGATGGTATCTCTTTCCCATGTTCAACAAACATGCAGCAAGCCCGTAATGAAAACCACAGCTACCAGTTCAGTAAATCAACAGGCTGAGAAGAGAAATGGTTTGCAAGCCTTTTTTTACAACACTGACGACATGATCTGCTTAACAGAAACATGTATATATCTGATGGATAATTATGAATAAAACATAGATTTAACCCTAAATAGCTTATGATCCTAATAGGAAGACTAGGCAGAAAACCTTCTCTATCACTATAAACACAGAGACATGAATAAATACATCCAACACAGATATCCCCAGTTTGAGCTTAGGTTGATGTTCGTTGTCTTAAACAAACCCAGAGAAGGATTCCAGGAAGAAGTAAGTTTGCATTTCATAAGCCGGAGGGGCTTGGGGCAGGCAGTTGATCAATATCTCCAGGTGTACCAGGGAGGTAGACATAAAGCTACCCTCCCTGGAAATAAATAAATAGATTATTTCCTTCCCTGGAAATAATCTATGTGCCTTAGGGAATTTATTTCCAGCCAAGATTAGGAACAAGGGGGCTAAATATCACAAGTTGTGCAGAAATTCAGTTGCTAAATCAATGTGTGGTTTTCCCTTAACCTCCCTGCCATGTTTTTTTGTGATGCATAAAAATAAAAATGTTAAAAGAAGTGGAAAAACTTGCATTGAAATACTTGTCACCCTCAAAGACCCTGCTGGAGAGCTATATAAAAATCCACAAGGTCATCTTAATACTCCAGTAACTCTTATGCAATTGAGCTGGACTAGAGTCGTTCTACCTTATAACAAAATCTTTCTGCAAATGCACTGTGGCAATCCCAAGCTAATGCAGACTTTCATCGAATGTTATGAGGAGCAACTCATTTCTAAAGGTTCCTATTAGAATGTCTTGCATTCTACAGCCTAGAAAGCGTTATATCCAGAATCACATTTAATTAGCACCATGACCCCGTGGAAAAGATACTGATGGTCTCAGAGAGGTGAAGTAACTGTCCAAGAGGGCAGGCCTAAAACCTAGGTCCTCTCACTTCTACTCTGGTGCCAGTGTTTGGATTGTCAGTTGGTTTTTTGTTGTTGTTGTTTTTGTTTTGTTTTGCTTTTGAGATGGAGTCTCGCTCTGTCGCCCAGGCTGGAGTGCAATGGTGCGATCTCGGCTCACTGCAACCTCTGCCTCCTGGGTTCAAGCAATTCTCTGCCTCAGCCTCCTGGGTAGCTGGGATTACAGGTGCCCACCACCACACCAGGCTAATTTTTGTATTTTTAGTAGAGACAGGGTTTCACCATGTTGGCCAGGATGGTCTTGAATTCCTGACCTTGTGATCCACCCACCTTGGCCTCCCAAAGTGCTGGGATTATAGGCATGAGCCTCCACACCCGGCCTGTCAGTTGGTTTTTAATGTCGTCTTGCTGCTGCTAATGCCATTTGTTCACAAAAGAACATAGGACATCTGCCCAAATAAACATTAGCCAAGAAGGAAATGCCAGCAGTCCTAGACCATGGCCAACCCCACAGCATAAAATGCTGTTTAAACACGTTGAACCACACCACGAATGTCCAGTTGGCAACGTTCCAACCGTGGGGAACACAACAGGTCACATGCCCTGGGTTCTGGCAGTCTACAGACAACAGGAAACTTAAAAGACCTATCGCTTTTCAAATGAGCAACACTAAGCCATAATGTCTAGGTATGCACAGTTGGGTGATACATTATTTTTAAAAACACAGGAAGTGATTACTGTAAAAGGAAAGTGGTGACTTGTTGGGGAAGAGAGGAGACTGATTGGGATAGGGCACGTGGAAGGAGGGGGTCTGGGGTAGCTGGTAAAGTTCTGTTGATTGATTCGGGAGTTCTTTAAAAGGGTGCTTACTTTCATTTTTAAGTTCTGGGGCACATGTGCAGGCTGGGCGGGTTTGTTACATAGGTTAAATGTGTGCCATGGTGGTTTACTGCACCTAAAGGGGTGCTTGCTTTATAACAGTTTGCTATATATAGCAAGTGTTACATTTGTGTTGTGAGGTTTCCAGGTTCTTTGCTTTATTTTGCAATAAAACCATGTTTTTAAATGCTGTATAGACCTCAGTGCCTCCACCTCCACCACTTCTTCTGTGGTGTGGGAAGAAAACAAGTGATGTGGTGAGAAAGGGACAGTGCGGGGATACATGAGATGCCTGTCATTTCCCTTTCAGATGGGTCTCTGTCCCACAAGAGCACTTAAAATTAAGAGCCAACTCTCCTCTCCATTTTTTTTTTTTTTTTAAAGTTGCTTGTGTTCTGGCAGCAGGGGCTATCGGATTTGAGAGTCAAATTGCTGCAGAGAGTCCCCCTGGGAAGGGAGACTCCAGAAAGAGAGGCCTGGCACTTACTGTCTTGTGGGGAAACCGTGCCAACGGTGTTAAATCAGCAAACGATGGCCGAATGGAGTAGGGCCAACAGTCAGGCCTGAGAATATAGAGGCCCCTAAGATTTCAAGTGAGTAGATTTGCAGCGTGATGGCTGCACTTGCTCGCTCTAGCGCCACCTTTGCCTCAGGCGGTTATATGGCTTCTCAATAATTTGTGGTTTCCTCTGCTGCTGGTAAAATGGGTCTTCCCAGGATTATTGGGAATCCATGTTAAAGTGACTGTAGACCCGGAGCAGGGGCTCATGCCTGTAATCCCAGCACTTTGGGAGGCCAAGGAGGGCAGATCACTTGAGGTCAGGAGTTTGAGACCAGTCTGGCCAACATGGTGAAACCCCATCTCTACTAAAAATATAAAAATTAGTTGGGTGTGGTGGCAGGAGCCTGTAATCTCAGGTACTCGGGAGGCTGAGGCAGGAGGATCACTTGAACCTGGGAGGCGGAGGTTGCAGTGAGCTGAGATCGCGCCACTGCACTCCAGCCTGGGTGATAGAGTGAGACTCTGTCTTGAAAAAAAAATTTAAAAAGTGACTGTAGGTTGCTGCTTGGTTTAGTGGTTAGGAGCACAGATTCTGGAAGCAGATTGGCTAAGTTTAAATTCTAGACCCACCATTTGCTGGCTGTGTGACTCTGGGTAAGTTACTTAACCTCTCTGTGACTCAGTTCTACTTTTTAAAAAGGACAACATTAATACCTACTGCCTAAAGATTTTATGATAATCAAATGTAAATATTCACAAAGGACTGAGAACAGTGCCATCCATCTAGAAAGAGCTCTACAAATGTTTAGCAAATAAAAATATTATTTATTAGCACTCTTTACAAAATGCTTTATAAGAGGCATCTCACGGATTCATCCCAATGGCTCTTTGAGGCAGAAGCTCTCTTACAAAGGCTAGTATGAGATAAATGATACATATAATTCCATTGATTGGAATCCAGGGGAAATGCAGACTCTTTTTACATTGCTATAACCTTCCTCCCAAACTCCTAGCATCCCACAGCCCATCTTCTGCTGTGTTTATGCAGAAGGTGGGGCCAGAGATTCTGGACAGCCACCTCTAAAGTAGCAGTGCCTTCACTCTGCACTCATTCTGCTACCGCACAGAGGGGCTGAAGGGCGCCAGGATGCAGCCACCCAGCAGGAGGTCCGCCGGGACACTGAGGTCAGCGTTTGCCACCTTACCTCGTAACTTTTACAAGAGGCCAAACCAAGCAAAGAGGACTGGGGGAAATAGGTGGGGAACAGGGGAGCATCTCTGGAGCCCATCTGTGTGCAGGTCTCATCCTGAGGTTCTGTTTACAAAATTTTAAATAGGAAGACTTGATCATAGGTTGAAGCCGCACATTTTGTAGACTTGAAAATGAAGGATGAAGGGACTTACCAAAGTCACACAGCTACTTAGGAACAAAGCCAGGAGCAGCCCTGAGACAGCATTTTTTTTTTTTTTTTTTTTTTTTTTTTTTTTTTTTGAGACACAGTCTCCCTCTGTCACCCAGGCTGAAGTGGAGTGCAGTGGTGCGATCTTGGCCCATTGCAACCTCCACCCCCTGGGTCCAAGCGATTCACCTGCCTTAGCCTCCCGAGTAGCTGGGACTATAGGCATGTACCACCATACCCAGCTAATTTTTGTATTTTTAGTCAAGACAGGGTTCCACCATGTTGGCCAGCCTGGTCTCAAACTCTTGACCTCAAGTGATCCGCCCGCCTTGGCCTCCCAAACTGCTGGGATTAGAGGCATGAGCCACAGTGCCTAGGCCCCCAGACAGTATTTCTGCTGGGTCTATGACAATGGCTGGACACTGAGTCAGGCACGTTAAACACAACATCACTTTAACCCTCCAGCAGCGCTTCTAGGTGGCCGTTACCATCCCCATTTTATAGATGAGGAAATCCAGGCTGTGTAGCTTACCCAAGATTCCACAGGTAGAACGTGGCAGGGCTGAGATTTAAAGGTAAGTCTGCCTCATGCCAACGCCCAAGGGTGGGATCCATGTTTCAGTGTCTCAGTTGGAAGCAGATGATAAAATTGCATCAGGCTTCAACTGCCAGTGTTGACCCATTGCCTCATGGTTGCAGTAGATTGACTGATCCATTTCCCTCATTCACTGGTTCACTCCTCTTCCTCCCCAGGGCCACAGGTACCCACTTGCAGGTTGTGGTGGTCTATTGCTGTGACACAATGATGTCAGCACCATTTTAAATGTATCCCAGGAACACAGTGGTGACTCTGAATCATGAGCCCTGACTTGAAATTGTACAAAGCTGACTTTCAGGTTGCACAAGATTTTGATTCTTACAGTCATCCCTACTGAATTCTGAGTGACAGTCACAGGGGAATTGTAGTAGGGATCTCTAGAGGGACAGAACTAATGGGGCAGCTGTATATATAAAAGGGAGTTTACTGAGGAGAATTGACTCACATGATCACAAAGTGTCAAAGAATTTGTGGACACGTTTTACAACCACCACAGTCACTGTTGCCCAGTTATACTGAAGGTCAGCTCCAGGTGTGCAGGGGAACCGTCAGCCGCATTCTCGGTCCTGGCTCCCAAGGCTGAGAGTTCTTTAAGGGCAGGGACCATGTCTTGGTCACCACTGTAGCCATAGAACCAAGCACAGGACCTGCACATAGTAGGTGTTCAATAAATGTTTGAGACATAAAATAGGTAATTAACAAATTGAGAGTATGAAATAAGTAGATCCTATTAATTGTGGTAATAATGAGTTCTAGTGATATGTAGGCCATCTGGAGCTTATCTAAGCTCACCTACTAACTAGCTGAGTAATGCCATGCAAGTTGTTTGCCCTAGAAGGCCTCTAGGTTTAGAAAGAGGCTCTTTATGGTTTCTCTGAGCTCTAACTAGCTCTAGTAAAAAGTATATACATATGTCTCATGAAAAGGCTTTGCACCTTCTACCACCAAGACAAATGCTGAGGCTCTCCCCTGCCATTGCTTCCTGACCGAGGCTTCCTCTTCTCCTTGCAGATTGCGCTGCTCCCCAACAATGCAGCTGACCTGGGCAAGTATATCACCGGTGACAAGGTGCTGGCCTCAAACGCCTACCTTCCTGGACCTCCTGGCCTGCCGGGGGGCCAGGGCCCACCCGGTGAGTGTAGAGGAGGGCACAGGAGGGTGATCACCATCAGAAAAAGCCTTCCAAAAGCTCACATTTGCTGGGGGCTGGACAGTGTTCTCCAGCTTCCATCGAGGAGAAACGAGGCAGGTGTCCATAGGGCTGCCACACACCCATGCAATGACAGGACCTTGGGAAATAGCCCCTCAAGCCTGAGAAACCCTCATAGCCGATAGCAATTTGGGAGAAAAAGGTCATTGTCCTGGGATTGGTTAAGATTCCTAAAGATCATTTTAAGTTAAAAAAAAATGAAAACCATCTTAAACTTTTTTCTGGAAAAATTTTAACATATACAAAAATGGAACAGTATTATGAAGCCCCCCTGCTCGGGGCTCCTCGCCCAATTCTAACAACTCAGAGCCAGCCTCTTCCTGCTACTCCCCAGTCTTCCTTCTACCTTCCCTTATTTGTTCGCAAATTTATGCCTATATTTATTTTTATACCTAGCTATACGTTTTTCCAAGTCAACTGTATTGACATACAGATAGATAATGTACTCGTTTAAATTACAGTTCAAGTTTTGACAAATGTATTTGCCCATCTAACTCCTATCCTACATTTCAAGATATAGAACATTTCTATCACCCCAGAAATGTCCATTGTGTCCATGTGCACGTGTCCGCTTCCCCAACACCCAGTCTAGGCAGACACTGAGCTGCTTTCTTTCACTGTGGTCTCACCTGTTCTAGAACCCCGTATCACTGGAATCTTTTAATTTATATATATATATGTTCTTGTGAATGTATACTTTCAGCTTCTTTCATTCAGTATGCTGTCCCTGAAGATTCACACTTATTAATTGGGTGAAAATTCCAAACATCCTATCATTTCATTGGGAAATATACAATGAGAACTTAAAAAAATAGTTCCAAGTTATTTTATATTTTGAGTACCTCCATAGATAGAGCAATGGATTTTTTTCTCCACACTGGTAAGGGAAATGACATTAACGTTAGCAAATGATTCTAAACCTTTGAGTGCCTTATCCCTGGCTATCATTGCTTAGCAGTGTGCTAGGTGTTATGAATGACCTCTTGACATCCTACTTGGGAAGACCAGACATATAGAGCCAATGCAGATAAATAAAACAGTATCCACATGCCCTCCAGGTAAGTGCACAGATGCTTCCTGCTGTGGGAGCTTGTAGGGAGCGAGCACTGTAGCCTGCAATGGTCAGCGGCATTTAGGTTTGATCTGCACATGGAAGACTGGTAGAGTTTGCCCAAAGAGGAAGGACACAGGTGGATTTTCAGTTGGAAAGTCAGCAAGAACAAAAGGTCAGAGTTCTTCACAGAGGGTCGGTGTGTTTCCTCTCCACTTATGTCTTGAACTCTTCAAACACAAACCTGGATCTCAGTCCGTCCAGAGAACAAGACGGTTCAGGATTCATTCATTCCCTTGGTCTGAGGTACTCTGGGTCATGGTGGAGTTTTCTCCAGCAAATGGTTCACACAGGCCCCCTCTGGCTGCTTCTAAACAGACTGGCATCTCTCCTTATAAACTGCTTCCTAGCACGGTGCTCTCCACCCTCCTCTAAGAGAATGCTATTGCTTTGCTTCTCTGGAGGAAGCCAACTCCAGGCTCTAGATCACTAGAACAAAACCAACTGTAGGAGCAGGGGAGCCACTGGCTGTCTTGCTTAATAAATGCCTTGCAAGCTTGCTGCTCCAATGCTGCCATCTGGCTTACAACATGGTTTGAGCTGTCCAGGGTCCTTGATGGAGCAGAGAGTGATTGAGGATGAATAAGCTTTTGCAACATACCCAGCCTTTCAATGGGGACATTCCAAACCCATTTCCTTCTCTCTCTTAACTTTCAGTGTTTGTGGTACCCACCATTGAGACTTAGTAGGGAAGCTAGAAAGCTAATAGGCTTTCTCTCACCCTTAAATTAAAGTCCAGTTCCGAGGTCTGTGGTGAATCAGACTGGAGCACCAATACAGGAAACTACTCTGGGTTGGAATCTGTTTAGCTTTGGTGGTAAGGGGGCGGCTGCTGCTTTCTGGCCTCCACTGCCATATATAAGGTGCTACCATTTGTATTTCAAAGGCGCTTGACATACTATGATCTCTGAAGTGTACTGACTATGTAAATCTAGCTGAGATATCTCTGGCCTCTTTTATGTGCTACTGGAGGTAAAATATTTAGCAAAAGGAGAGATCTGGCACCCTTTCCAAACTCATTGTAGATATACCTGGAACCAGTATTAAGAGTAGGGGTATGAGACATGTTTGGATGGAACACTGACTGCTTTTAACTTTGGCTTAATTATTCTGTGTACTAAAAAAGACTTATCTAAATATGAAAAGTGTAAAGTATCTGTTTCTTTGTTTCATTTGCTGGAGTCTGAATGTCATTCCATCTTGTCACTGCTCTGTCAGTACTAGGCGTTAGGTATGGTCAAAAAGTAATTATTATGTGCATTTAAAAGAACAATTATAAGTATAGCATAGCAATCTTCTCAGTCTCTTCAATGCAATCACTTAATAAAAAACATTTACTAAGCAGCCTACTATGTATCCAGGACTATCTGAGGATATGCTAATAAATAAGACACAATTCAAGCTGTCACAGAGCTGATGATCTAAAATGGGTTAAAACACAACGTCCTTCTGCATGCAGAAGAATGAGGTTGGACCCTTACCTTACACCATCTACAAAAATTAACTCAACATGGATTAAAGAGTGAAATGGAAGACCCTAAAACTATGAAAATCCTAGAAGAAAACATAGAGGAAAGCTTTATGACATTGGATTTGGTGACGATTTCTTGGCTATGACCCCAAAAGCATAGGCAGCAAAAGCAGTAGATAAATGGGACTACATCAAACTTAAATTTCTGTGTCTCAAAGCGAAAATCAACAGGGCAAAAACAACCTACAGGATGGAAGAAAATAATTGTAAATCATATATCTGATAAGGGGTTAATATCTAGGATATATAAGAACTTCAATATTCAACAAAAAAAGCAGCTGGTTTAAAAAATGGGAAAAGGACTTGAATAGACATTTCTGCAAAGAAGATATACAAATGGCCAAAACCCATATTAAAAGATACTCAACATCACTGATCATTAGAGCATTGCAAACCAAAACCACAGTGAGATACCACCCCACACCCATTAGGATGGCCACTATTTTTGAAAAAATACAAGCTTGGGAAACACAGGGAGACCCTGTCTAATTAAAAGAAAATGTAAACTAGCCAGGCTATAGTCCCAGCTACTCAGGAGGCTGAGGTGTAAAAGATGGCTTAAGCCCAGGAGGTCGAGGCCACAGTGAGCCATGAACATAACACTGCATTTCCAGTCTGTGTGACAGAGCAAGACCCCATCTCAAAAAAACAAAAAAAAAGGAAAAAAAAAAACGAGAAAATAAATATTGACAAGGATATGGAAAAATTGGAACCCTGTGCACTGTTGATGTGAATGTAAAATGGTTCAGTCACTGTGGAAAAGAGTGTGGAGATTCCTCAAAAAATTAAACATATCAGGAGGCTTAAGCAGGAGGATCACATGGGCTCAGGAGTTTGAGGCCAGCCTAGGCAACAGAAACCCTAACTCAAAAAATATCTATATCTATAACTATATCTATGAGTGAGATCCAGAAATCCCACTCCTGGGTATATACCCCAAAGAATTAAAAGCAGGATCTTGAAGAGATGCTTGCACACCCATCTTCATAGCAGCACTTTTCACAATAGCCAAGAGGCTGAAACAACCCAAGTGTCCAACCCAAATGGATAAGATGTAAAAACAAAATGTGACATACACATACAATGGAATATTATTCAGTCTTTAAAAAGATGGAAATTTTGACATAGGCTACAATATAGATGAGTCTTAAGGATATTAGGTTAAGTGAAATAAGCTGGTCAAAAAATGACACATTAATTATATAAGATATCTAAAATAATTAAATTCATAGAAACAGAAAGTAGAGTAGTGGTTACCAGGGGCTGAGCAGAGTGGAAAATGGGGAGTTAGTCAGTGGTCTAGAGTTTCCGTTTTACAAGATGAGAAAGTTATAGAGATCTGTTGCACAACAATGGGAATGTACTTAACATTATTAAACACTACATTTAAAAAATCGTTAAGATGGGCTGGGGGCCGTGGCTCACGCCTGTGATCCCAGCACTTTGGGGAGGCTAAGGTGGGCAGATCACTTGAGGTCAGGAGTTCAAGACCAGCATGGCCAACATGGTGAAACCCCGTCTCTACTGAAAATACAAAAAATTAGCCAGGGGTGGTGGTGGGCACCTATAATCCCAGCTACTTGGGAGGCTGAGGCAGGAGAATTGCTTGAACCCGGGAGATGGAGGTTGCAATGAGATAAGATCGCGCCACTGCACTCCAGCCTGGGTGACAGAGCAAGACTCCATCTCAAAAAAAAAAAAAAAAAAAAAGTTGACAAATTTTGTGTTGTGTATTTTTTATCACAAGTTTTTAAAAATGCTCGCCAGGTCCCCACTGTCTCTTCCCTCATCCCCCCGGCTGATGTTCAAGGCCAAAGCAGAGGTGAACATGCTGATGTCTGCACCCAGGTGCTGCCCCAGAGTTCACATAACCACGGCCCTTGAGCCGGCAAGATATCCCCTCGAGCCCCCGGTGTGGGCAGACATGCTGTGTGCCACACACAAGTGGGGAAACGCCGCAAATCCAACCCAATACAAAGCGGCTGTTTACAACTCTGTCTGCTGTGGGTCAACGTAGATGACGCCTAAAGGCCTCTTCCCCATCAGCTTCCATAATAGGGTGGTATGACCATATTTTGGCACACATGCAAGCAACTATTATCAGACAGGCATGAGAACAGATGACTTGTTGTTAAACTCGGTATAGTCTTAGTGCTGTGTCGATACAGGCCTCTGAAAAGAATTAAAAAACAAAACCCCTCAGCCTCTACAGAGATGGGCAGGTCGCATGGATACGTAGAAGGGAGCTGGGCAGGAGCAGTCGGAAGCAAGGGAACTGAACCAAATGGAGAGCACTCACCCCACGTAAAGGGGCCGCCCCTACTGAGAACTCCAGTTGGTTGGTTGTGCTGCTGATGGAATTGTGGTTTTTGTGCTTCCTGTTTCAAACCAGAGCCGGACACCCAGATTTTTATATGAAATCTCCCAATTTTTATTTTTATTTATTTATTTATTTTTGAGATGGAGTCTTACTCTGTTGCCTAGGCTGGAATGCAGTGGCACAATCTCGGCTCACTTCAACCTCCGCCTCCCAGGTTCAGGAAATTCTCCTGCCTCAGCCTCCCAAGCAGTTAGGATTACAGGCCTGTGCCACCAAGCCCAGCTAATTTTTGTATTTTTAGTAGAGATGGGGTTGTACCATGTTGGCCAGGCTGGTCTCAAACTCTTGACCTCAAGTGATCTGCCCACCTCAGCCTCTCAAAGTGCTGGGATTACAGGCATGTGTCACCACACCTGGCGCCGATTTTTAAATGTTAAGAATGCTCAGAAGAAAATGATATGCATAAACAGAAAACACATGTGCAGTGCATGAAAGTATATAAACACGCATAAATTATACTATAGATATACTGCAAGCATGTACAATGAAGTAAGCAGTTAATTCTTACTTTCAGAGGCCTGTATCGACACAGCGCTGAGACTATACTGAGTTTAACAACAAGTCGTCTATTTTTGTGCCTGTCTGATGATAGTTGTTGGTATGACGGGGGGGATGTTAAAATGTTTTTGGAGACAGGTGATCTGTGGTGATGGAGACAAGGCACAAAAGGAGAGAATAGTGGGAGCTGGATTGTGTGCCATGGCATGGTTTATTCAGGGAGGATGGGACTGTGGGGCGATTAGGAAAGAGGCAATTGTGGGAAAAATGCTGGCAAGAAGGACAAGCATAAACAAGGATACTATGCTGAGGAGTTGGAGCTTTATTCTTTACGCAGAGGGGAGCCACTGTAGGGTTTTCTTTTTCTCCTTGGACTCCAGTTACACTTATTTTAGATGGTTTGATATTATCTCACCTCTTTTGAATGCTTCATTTTATTTTCCTCTTTGTGATTCTCTTTGAGTAACTATTGACTTATCTTTAAGTTCACTGAGTCTTTGCTCAGCTGCGAGCAGTCTGCTGATGAGCTTATATCGTTTTCATATATGATGTTGTATTTTATATTTCCATTTGACTTTTTTCCTTTAATTTCCATCTCTCTGCTAAAATCCCTCATCTGTTCAGAGAAGCTGTTTATCTTTTCCACCAGCCCCTTTCACATACTGTTATTTTAAAGCCCATATCTCATTATTCCGACATCTGGGTCCCCTCTGAGGCTTGTCCTGCTGATTGTTCTATCACTTCTATCACTTGACAATGGGTTTTTTGTTTTGAATTTTTTTTATTTTATTTTTATTTTTGAGATGGAGTCTCACTCTGTCACCCAGGCTGTAGTGCAATGGTGCAATCTTGGCCCACTACAACTTCTGCGTCCCAGGTTCAAGCAATTCTCCTGCCTCAGCTTCCCGAGTAGCTGGGATTACAGGCACCCACCATCACATCTCGCTAATTTTTATATTTTCAGTAGAGATGAGGTTTCACCATGTTGGCCAGGCTGGTCTCGAACTCCTGACCTCAGGTAATCCATCCGCCTAAGCCTCCCAAAGTGCAGGGATTACAGCATGAGCCCCTGTGCCTGGCCCTTTTTTCTATGTGCCTAAAAGTTTTGGATTGAATGCCAGACATCATTTGCAGAGAAACAGTAGAGACTGAGGTATGTAGTTATCACTCCTGGAGATGGGCACCCTCTTCTTTTGTCAGGCCACTGCCATGGGAAGTGAAGTCAGCCTACTGAATAACAGCTGGGTTTTGGCCTTATTGTCACTACATTTACTTTGTGTTCCACAGTCTTCAACTAATTCCTCCAGTGGTAAAATGCTGTTACCTTATGCTTAGTGGATGCCTAGGTTACCAGTGGATTTTTCTCAGTGTTTATACTCTGAGCTTTCTGCAGCCTCTACACACACATACCTGTGCCACAGGGGGGTTCTCTCCCCACACTGTTGCCCTTCCACCAGTGGTAGATTGCTATTACTTCATGCTAGAGTTGTGGGGCAAGGGGACATTTTCAGTTCTCCTGCTCCAGCTGCAATCCTAAGCATGACCTATGCTTCTGGGCCTTGGGGTGAGATGATCTTCCCCACACCCCCCGACTCATCCCCCAGCATGCCTTCTATCCCTGGCAAATCTTGGCCAGATGAACATTTCCTACCCCTCACTAAGAAGTAAGGGATATTTCTCTGGGGCCTGCAAGAAAGAGTGAGTTTGCTGACCCACCCAGTCCCTTGAGACATCTGCACCAAAAGATTGAAAGTAGGTGGGTTACATAGTAAGACTTGTTTTAATATGTCATCCCTATAGAAATGTCAAAAATGGGCAAGGGGTAGACAAGGCTGCTGGGGGGCAGAGAGACTAGCAATGAGGCAAGAGTCAAGGCAAATATAAGGAAGGCCTAACAGATTTGTTTTAGTACTATATGGGAAGTACTATACTAAGTGGTGTGTGTATATCTGAAATCTCATTGAATACAACTACTCCATAAGGAAGATTTTTATTAGCCCAGCTTTACAGATGAGATGAGAAACTAAAGCTCAGATAGCTCGGGCAACTTGTCAGATTCAAACCCAAGTCTCCCTGATGCTAAAACCTGTCTCTTAACTGCTGTCCTGCCGCGATCACCACTTCTCTGCTGTGGTGGCCACTGTCGGCTGTGATCTAGTGGAGAGAAGGGAGCAGACAGCTGTGAGATGTTAAAGAAGTAAAATGCACAGGAGCTGGCCACTGATTCAAAAATGAGGTTGCAGAAATGGGGAAATATAGAGGAAGACTCTCCAGTGTTTGGCTTGAGTGGATGGGTGACTGGCGGTCTGTGAAAAGAGAGGAAGTTGGGGAAGCTGCTTTTGACCATATCAAGTTTAAAATGCCCGTGGGACATCCTGATGCAGATGTCAGAAGGCAAAGGCAGAGAGAGTACAAAGAGAAATGACTGCAGGGGCCCGGGACTCTTGTTAGCCAGGGCCCTTCGTCCTTCTCATGTGCTGCGAGCTAATGAGGTGTTCTTTGATTACAGGCTCACCAGGACCAAAGGGAAGCCCAGGCTTCCCCGGTATGCCAGGCCCTCCTGGGCAGCCCGGTCCACGGGGCTCAATGGGACCCATGGGACCATCTCCTGATCTGTCCCACATTAAACAAGGCCGGAGGGGCCCTGTGGTCAGTATCTTATCAGAGATCCACTTCCTGTTTGGGGGAAAATGTGTTTTTGTCCCATGCTTTTCCCTGTGGTTAAACCAGATCCTTTTGTATTGTAGGGTCCACCAGGTGCACCAGGAAGAGATGGTTCTAAGGTAAGCCTTATGAGTGGTCCTCACAAGCTAAAGGTCTCTCACGTTCGATTTTGTTTTGTTTTGTTTTGTTTTGTTTGAGATGGTCTTGCTCTGTCACCCAGGCTGGAGTGCAATGGCACAATCTTGGCTCGTTACAACCTCTGCCTCTCGGGCTCAAGCCCGATTCTCCCGCCTCAGCCTCCCAAATAGCTGGGACCACAGGCATGCACCACCACTCCCGGCTAATTTTTGGATTTTTTAGTAGAGATGGGGTTTCACCGTATTACCCAGACTGGCCTTAAATTCCTGAGCTCAGGTGATCTGCCCGTCTCGGCCTCCCAAAGTGCTGGTATGACAGGCGTGAGGCACCGCTCCTGGCCTGAAGGTCTCTCACTTTCTACCTCTTGCACTGACATCGAGGAAAGCTCACCAGTTACTGTTTACCATCCCCATTCTGCATGCAGCAAAAGTGAGACACAGATACCAGATATAACTTTTTCCCCAAAGCTGGGAACAAAATCTGAAAAGCCATTTTCTGAAATTCCGAAACCAACCCCAAAGACAAAAACCACCACCACAACCAGTCATAGGAAAAATGGCCCCTATAAATTTTAAATGAGCCTCTGCATTGTGATACTCACATGTGTTTTTCTCTTTAACCAGTGTTGCTTTACAGGATAGCGTTTTGTGTGTTTCCATTTCTGTGAGATTTTCAAGTCAGGAACAGGAGATGCTCCATTCTTTCTGCAAGCAGGGTGGTTCCCCTCTGAGAGCCGCCTTCTCTTTTTTGCCTCACAAAGAAGTCAGTGTGAGATATTTCAGAAAGTTTGTTACTGCACATGCTGCTGGGAAATACGAACATTCCTCTTGCCAGGAAGGTTTGAAAATATATGGGCTCAAGGGAAATCAGAATGAGAAACACTTGACCCAAGCAATCTTGTTCAAATCAGTGGTCCCGTGAGTCCAGCTCAGTTTTACATATGTTTTCTATAGAAAATATTTGTTGTTTTGTGCAGGGAAGTGGTTATGGTGGGTGTATAAATAGAGACTATTGTTGTGGTATCCATGTGCTCGAGAAAGCTAACCCTGGCCTTTCTGTTTTTAGGGGGAGAGAGGAGCGCCTGGGCCCAGAGGGTCTCCAGTAAGTAGCATTCTGTGTCCTGCTTCCCCAGGGGAACATTCTCAGGGATGCAGCTCTGATGAGCCTATAGGTCGGTCTAGTAGCAAAGGCCCGCCCCTTCCTGATGCCACTCAGCCCACCTGAGCAGAACTCTGTGGTTAGGAAGGCAGTCATAGAAGACCTTAGCTGCTAGTTTGGATTTATTTTTCAAACTTGTTTTCTGTAGTTGTTTTTTCTTTTATCATGGCTAATCTTCATTTAAAATGTCTTTCCTAAAGCTCAAAACCCTACTATGCCATGAGTCTGTTTCCAAGTATTATCATAAAACATTTGAAAGGTCTAGGAAAGAAATCTATGGGTTTAAATCATAACTCTGCATACTTGAGAATTTAGCCACTGCTACAACCCTAGCTGGTCAGATGCCCATCTCCTCTTAAAAAGCGCAAAACCATGCAGGGCTGTTTAGGATCTGAGAAGAAATTAGCTGCATATATGCATAGTGTCTGGGAGATTAAAAATGAGAAATAGTAGTATTCAGAAGCGTAGAAAATTCAAACCACTTCACTGCTTCTGAAGAAGTCTCATTTCTGAAATCCAAAAGCTGTGGCCACAGAGGTGGAAGTCGTGGGTTCCCATCTAAACTGTTCTACCTGCTAGCTTTCTGACCACGGCACATCACTGAGGGTCTCTGGGCATTCATTCCCCCACCTGTGCAGTGGCAATAGTGGAATCTGACCTGCCATCCCTCAAGTGGCTATTGTGAGGGTCAAATGATATGAAAATCCTATGCCTGTCTTAGTGCTTTACGGTGTAAGCTCTGCTTCCATAGTGCCCGCTGCTACTGCAGCAGTTGTGGGAAGTGATAACGATTTTACTGCAAACTTCTGACAAGCCCAGAACATGCGTGTTTATGCATTTCTTTTTTACCATGCCCCACACAGCACTCTATAAAATTAAGGCTTAGTAAATACTATATGATGATAAAGGATACTCAAGACATAGAAAAATTACGAAGCTTTTGTTTGGACCTTTCCTAGATGATAAGGAGTTGACGTCTTTACAACATCCTCTCAACTTCATTTAGTTTGTGCTTATAGTCGGCCATCTTATAAACATTTTAATAATTTTGAGACAGGGTCTCACTCTGTCACCCAGGCTGGAGTGCAGAGGCACAATCTCGGCTCACTGCAGCCTCGACCTTCTGGGCTCAAGCGATCATCCACCTTAACCTCCCAAGTAGCTGGGTCCACAGGTGCCCACCACCACACCTGGCTACATTTTTGTTATGTTTTTTGTAGAGACAGGTTTTCACCATGTTGTCCAGGTTGATCTTGAACTCCTGGGCTCAAGCTATCTGTCCACCTTGGCCTCCCAAAGTGTTAGGATTACAGGCGTGAGCCACCACTCCTGGCCCAGATAACATTTTGAATACATATTATGCTCAAAGCGCTTTACATGCATTTACTTATTTAAATCCTCACTTATGAACCCTATAAAACCCTATGAAATTGGGACTATTATTATCCCCATTTTACAGATGTGGAAACTGAACCACAAGAAATTAAGACCACACAATTAGTAAGCAGCAGAGATGAGATTCAAACCCAAGAGAACCCCAGTCTCTTAATCACTGCTCTGCTGCCTTCATAAGCATCTTCCAGACTGCTTTGGAAAGTGACTTACGAGAGTTGTCTTATATTCTTTCCTCTACTGAATTTGATAAAGCCTAGAGTTAGGAGGGAGGAAAGGTGAATACATCACCAAAGCTCATCTGAGAAGTGAGAGAATTAGAAAACAATGTGGAGGACCCCCAGGCTCCTGTAGCAGTCCTCACATTGACTCCATTTGGGGCACAGTTATTGAGAAAGTAGTTGCCAACAAGCAGCGGGTCAAGTCATGGAGCCCCGGAGGCCGTTGCTGTCTGTCGTATTCTAGCTTTGATTCCTCCCATGTACACAGGGACCCCCTGGTTCTTTCGACTTCCTGCTACTTATGCTGGCTGACATTCGCAATGACATCACCGAGCTGCAGGAAAAGGTGTTCGGGCACCGGACTCACTCTTCAGCAGAGGAGTTCCCTTTACCTCAGGAATTTCCCAGCTACCCAGAAGCCATGGACCTGGGCTCTGGAGACGACCACGCAAGAAGAACTGAGACAAGAGACTTGAGAGCCCCCAGAGACTTCTATCCATAGCACATCCCAACACCGTCATGCCAAAGGAAGAGAAAGATCAACTCACCTGCAGTTAAACCATCTAAAGAGAAAAAAACACCACTGGAGACCTAGAAAACATACATTTTTCTCTTCTCTTCTCCTGACATCTCTCTATTCCTCTTCTTCCAGATACAATACTATTTTCAGAGTCCCCTCCTAGGCCTGCAGACACATGGGAGTGAATGATTGATTTACCTGCTTCTTACTAAGGGTTCATTGGAGTGGTTTGCATTGTAACTTTTCATTTACATCCTATTTTTCCAGGAACTTTGGATTTAAGTCCTCTCACAGTGTCTTAAATCATAAATTCTTCAAGTTAAATTTGGCAGAGTATCAAAAGGGAAAATGGCAAAGTGAGCTCTAAGAAAATGTGAGGCTACTCTAAGATGTGTATTCAGAATAGACCATAACTCCTCTAGTATCAAAATTAGGGCTCTTCAGTTAAAAAGGGGTGGAGAGGACAAACGTGTAGATGTACTTTGGTGGAAAATTCTTTTTCCTTGTGCTTCCAGTAGATTTTAAATATTGTATGCCCTTGTCAAACGTTTCCCAAATTCATTTAAAGAGAGGAGAGAACTGAATGACATTTAGAGAAGATAGAAAAGAATTGCAGTCATATATTTACTGTTACATAGATTGCCACATTCTAAAATTCAAATATGGTGCTTAAGGTTTCATGCCATGCTTATCTGTAAGTATCCTATTTAGGGAAGAAGATTAAATCCTCTTTTCAAAAAACAAAGTGAAATGCCTGGATTCACATTAAAACAGTGGGCTCTGGTTTGCTAGAATATTTTAAAGCTGTTTAATCAAGAGTGGAGCCTGCTGTATACATCACAGATTATTTGTTCAATAAAGTGGCTGACCTTAGAGAGAGGCACAGAATTCCTGGTTCTGAGCAGGTGCCCAGAAGGTGCCATTAGGTGCCATGATCCAGGCTGAACCAATACACAGTGGGGCTGAAGGCCGCAAGGAAGTTGCTGGCTTGGGTTGACCTCACTAACGCCATCAGCAGCAGTAGGTAAATTTGTTGTCCTTGGGTGTTACAAGTTTTTGTCTGGAGCCAACCAAGCTTGCCACCAACATATTGAGAATAATACACTATTGAAAGTTATCTTGGATGGGGAGAAAAAAAAACAGTAGTTTTTCCTTGTTTGCAAAAACTTCCTTCCTATTCCCATTTTTTCCTTCTTTCATTTAGTCCAAGTTCCAGTTCTTTCAGGCATTCTCTTTGATTTCTTTTCCCCTGCATGTGAGAAGCAGTTCAGAAAAGGGTCTATTTCTCCACCTCCTAGTGAGTTAGAGTGTTTTCTCAGAGCACCTCTGGGTCCCAAAGGGAAGCATGTTCCTGCCAAGGTTTGTTGTGCATTCAGAAGCACCAGGAGCAAGAGACCAGAAGGATGATCGGCTCCTTTGTAACGTTGCTGAGGGCCCTCTTGGTTCCAATGAGCAGCTTATAAGTTACTCACAGTCCACTTTCTCATTGGACACACAAAGTGGCTGTTCATCTGCCTTTGCGGGAGACTTTCACTCTTCTATTGAGCTTCACAAATGATCGTTCTCACACTCATATGCGCTCATGTTGGAATTTCCCATCCTGCCACGTCCTTTCCTGTTTCTTTTTGGCTTTTTTGCCTCCACCTTTCAGCCCACATCATTTAACTCCACTACTGTGAAAGCTTGCTTAAAGAAAATCCCTCTTGGCTGGGCATGGTAGCCCACGCCTCTAATCCCAGCCCTTTGGGAGGCTGAGGCGGGCAGATCACAAGGTCAGGAGTTCGAGACCAGCCTGACCAACATGGTGAAACCCCGTCTCTACTAAAAATACAAAAATTAGCTGGGCAGCTGGGCATGGTAGCCCACGCCTCTAATCCCAGCCCTTTGGGAGGCTGAGGCGGGCAGATCACAAGGTCAGGAGTTCGAGACCAGCCTGACCAACATGGTGAAACCCCGTCTCTACTAAAAATACAAAAATTAGCTGGGCATGGTGGTGCATGCCTGTCATCCCAGCTACTCAGGAGGCTGAGGCAGGAGAATTGCTTTAACCCGGGGGCAGAGCCAAGATTGCGCTACTGCACTCCAGCCTAGGCAACAGAGCAAGACTCTGTCAAAAAAAAAAAAAAAAAAAAAAAAGAATATCCCTCTTGTTGTGTTTGAATGCCACCTTTCAGTCTTCTCCCTGAAGAATGATAGGAAGGGGCTTTGCAAATCTCTAGTGGCAGCAGTCTTCCTTCCCTTCTTCCTACCATGTTGGAAATGCAGGACTCATGTCAGCGTGTGGCTGAGTCTTTGATGAACACTTTGCTCCTCTATGTCTCATTTATGCAAAATTCCTGGTGACTGTCCACCAGCATTTTTAAAGTGAAAGCAAACACATTCTTAGTGCTCTTTTTCTAGCATCTTTTCTTCCTCCTTCTCTCTGCAAAATTCAACATTCATGACAGAAGGTCACGCCAACCACGGGTTTATAAAGAGAGGAAGTGAACAGCTGTTGATTTCCATCTGGATATATTTAATGTTTGCCTGCTTGTGGAGCATGGTATTTAAAGGGTGTGAATGGATGAATGCTTTTGAAAAAAAAACACACACACACACACACACACACACACACAACGATGCACAAGCTGTATGAGAGATGGCTAGGTCCGTCTGTGATTTTTTTTTTAATGAGGAATTTTAATACCTTTTCTTTGACAGTGAACTGTATTTAGACATATGACCTTTATTGTGAAATGCTCATAAAATGCAACCAAACTGCATGTTTGGCCATAGGCTAGAATAATATATTAAAAGAATTAATGGAAAGT